AAGAGGATTGGAGGAATGGTATTTGGGAAGATTGAGCACATCAGTGGCTCTCCTTGAAGAGTGTTCCTCCCTATCAGTAGAGACTACATGTGCAATGCATTGGCAACAATCATGTGCCCTAAGTACTGAATTTTTCACAAAACCTCAACTTACAGTTGGCACCCCTTATCTCCCATGCAGACTAGTAAAAGGCATCATAAATGTGGTTAGTGCCAACAAAGCTGACAAAGGTGTAGAGTCCCACACACTATATACAGTAGTGTATGTGTTGTATATTTATATTTGGCATGGCATGTTAGACTATCTTCTAATATTCTCAGAATTCATGTTCTAAAAAGCATAATGTCCCATATATCTTTATTAGTGAGCATCAAGCAAGGTAATGATGCATACACTGTATTGTGAAGTAATCTGCATCAAGGGGCAGCATGGTTGTTATGTAATTAACACTTGTAGTGATGGGATGCTGGGTTTAATTCTCAAAATGGAAACTATCTGCATGGAGTTTGGATGCTCTACCTAAGCTGATCATACATTGCTAGATTTTTGTTTGAAAGTTCATAGGAAATTCTGAACAAAATCTTTTTTTCAGAACATTCTTGTGATCATTAAGTCAACTAATTTAATTCAAAGGCTCTTAAAAGTTTATCCAGAGCTGCTATTTGAATGGAATCCCAGACCTATTAAACAGGTTTCAATACATTGTGTTAGATTTTTCCTGAATGAAAACAAAACTCACAGAGTTTCAAAAACAAAGGTTAGTTTGCTGGACTAACCATTAGAAAATCGATCAACTGTTCCAAAAATGAAAATATGTTAGCTGTATGGCTAGCTTAAGAAGGGAAAAGTAAACACAAATCATGCACGTAGATTGGATGTGAAGGATATAGAGGTCAAGATTGTAAGCTCCAAGGAGCAGGGCCCTCCTAACCCTCTTGTATTGAACTGTACTGTTGCTGAATTGTCTCCCTTTATATTATAAAGCGCTGAGCAAACTGTTGGCGCTATATAAATCCTGTATAATAATAATGTTAAGAACTCAAGTGCTCTGGTGTATAATATGTTGTATATACAGATCATGATTTTGACCCCACAAACCATCAGAAAATCAAACTAACATTCCAAAAACAAATATTTTAAAACAAGTTCTACTGGTGTATGGCCATCCTTAGATTTTTGTGGTCCTCTGGCACTTTCCCCACATATCATATTGGTAGTTTGTCTAATATTTAACCAAATTTACCCTAAAAGCAAGGATGAAGGTGCTCAACTTCTGAAAGTCCAAATTAGATTTATTGATGTACAGGGGTAGTCCATCTGCTCTTCTAATGCATTTTACTCCTTTAGGAGCGAAGTCTAAGTAATTGTACATGGATTACCCCTGTACTAGACAATTTCAATACATCTACTTTGGACTTTCAGAAATTGAGCAGCTTCATTCATACTTTTGGTGTTATAATTATCAGTGGGTCATGGACCTCCCGAAACCAGCATCCTTCAGTTGGTGGAGAGATGATGGAAGACTTGGAGTGGAGTAGTTGGGATTTTCTGCAAATTTACCCTTGTTAGTGTGGATTTGTATTCCTGTGCTAGGAACATTAGACTTTAAATCTTGTCAAGGACATCATTGATGTGAGTGAGATGGGCTTTAAAATAAAGGGACCAAGGATGGATGAAGTACAGGGCAAATCCAATGTACTTGACAGGAAACTATTACATATATTTAACTAAATTCCTATCTAGCTCAGCCCTAGAACAGTAATATTTCCCTTTACAATAATGTAAAATATTATTATCCCCATCTGTGACTAATTATATCAGTAGTGTCATCAGTCAAGATTTTGTCAGCGGCACCTGTATATACTGTAGATGTATCAATGGCAGTATTTGTATTATTATTATACAGGATTTATATCGCTCCAACAGTTTGCTCAACGCTTTACAATATAACGGGAGACAATACAGCAACAATACAGTTCAATACAAGAGGGATAGGAGGATGCTCTTTGGAGCTTACAATCTAAGAGGGAGGGGCTAGTGGTACAAAAGGTAATAACTGTGGGGGATGAACTGGTAGGAGGAATACAAGATTCCATTGTTAGCTGAGGGCAGGATAGGCTTCCCTGAAGAGATAGGTTTTCAGAGATTGCCTAAAAGTGAGCAGAGTAGGCGACAGTCTGATAAATTGGGGAAGAGAGTTCCAGAGGATGGGGGAAGCTCTGGAAAAGTCCTGGAGACGAGCATGGGAGGAGGAGACAAGGGAGCTAGAGAGCAGGAGGTCGTGCGAGGAGAGGAGAGGACGGTATGGGTGATATTTGGAGACAGGATCGGTGATGTAATTGGGGGCGGAGTTATAAATGGCTTTATATGTTTATTGTTAATGTTTTGAATTTTATCCGTTGGGCAACAGGAAGCCAGTGGAGGGATTGGCAGAGAGGGATGGCAGATATGGAACGGTTAGTAAGGTGGATGAGTCTGGCAGCAGCATTCATGATAGACTGAAGAGGGGATAGCCTGCGATGAGGTAGGCCAATGAGGAGGGTGTTACAACAGTCAAGGCGAGAGATAACAAGGGAGTAAATAAGTTGCTTAGTAGTGTCAAAAGGTTAAGAACGGGAGTATCTTGGAGATGTTGCGGAGGTGAAGTCTGCAAGATTTGGACAGCAATTGGATTTGGAGCTGAAAGGACAGATGGGAGTCTAGGATTACACCTAGTACCCTGGCATGAGGGGAGGGACTGATGGTTGTGTTATTGATCTTGATTTATAAGTCAGGGGAGGGGGCACGGGCTGGAGGGAATAGTATGAACTCTGTTTTAGAAAGATTGAGTTTGAGGAAGTGGAGTGACATCCATGCCGATATGTCACTTAGAAAAGACTTCTTATTATGGGGGTCCAGCAATCAGCATTTCAGACATGTCTTCTACTAGGCCAAACCTCCACTACCAATCTCACATATTTCCCCAATAGCTCCTCTCTGGAGTAGAGCGGATGGTGTCCACAGAGGTATGTAGACCACACATGTATCATGGCTATTTGTCTCAAACATTGTTTGCACAATTTTTGTAGTCATAGAAGTATTGTATCTGCAATAACAATGTCACCTGGCTATTTGTTTCTATTTTAGCACATCATGTAAAACATTTTAACTGCAGAATTCTTTTGGTCATCTGGTTAGTTAAATTTCACAGCTCATCATGTCCAGTAATGATTCACATTTACTGGAAGGGCATATTTTGCTTTGCCTAACACAGATTTTATTCATGTTTTCATAACAGTCCCAAAAAACTGTCATGATATAGATATGTGTTTGCTCCCAAATCCCCTCTGCGGAAATGTACAAAGTGCAGAAACTCAAAGCAACCAATCAATTTTCAGTTTATTGTAGATACACTTACACATTGTAGGTTAAGACAGCTCATATCCCCCCCCCCCCCCCCCCCAGTGATCCCTACCAGAGAAGGGTTTTTTTTTTATTGAGTGGCTTGAAATATTCATTGCACATCTGGCTAATGTAAATAATGTAAGTTTATTCAAATTTTTCTATGCTGATAGTTATGTAATGCCCTCTAGGTTTGGCTAGTTAGTTTTTTTTTAAAGATATAGGCTGAGTAGCAGCCTGGGATGAGTCGTCTGTGAGTGAGGCAGGAGCAGGGGCAGACTGACCATTTGGAAACTCGGGCACTGCCCGAGGGACCAGGGTCAGTAGCGGGCCCCATGAGATGCCCCTGGTACCTTTTTCATAGGCGTTTTTGAGTTTGGGCAAGGACACAGGGGCCCCATGATCCCCTATTGCCCGGGGGCCCCATGAGTTGTCAGTCTGCCCCTGGGCAGGAGTTCACCTCAGGACAGGCTAGGGAGGTTCTATAGGTCACAGCTTCTGGAGCACTCCCACCTTTCCAGTAACCTAAGTAACTTTCTGTAAAAGGGGCAGAGGAGGTTCAGTTCTGCATGCTTGAGGAACCTTGGCCAATCCCCTGGCAGAAGATTGGGTATGATGACCAAGGTAACCCTCAAATATGACAGAGCCTGGGAGTCAGAGTTAGTGTCAGATGGAAGATGGATTTAGAGGAAGGCTGCAGTGTGAAGCCTGGGAGGGGAGCCCGGCTACAGGTAGGTTGCAGGAGAAGAGGATATACATTGCCTCAACACCTCCTGGGGAGGACAACCTGTGTAGCAGGGAAGGTGCCAGCCCAGTGTAAGGCCTGAAGGCAGCCACCAACCTACCAAGCTAATAGGTAGGGACAGTGTGAGTACGCCTACACCCCCTAGGCTGGATAAGGGGAGAGGGCAGTAAGGTGCAAGACCCAACTAGCTCCTCACCTGGGGCTGTGTCAGTTGGCAGTTCTTGGGCCCTCTTGCTCAGGGATACCCTCAGGCAGTTGGGTGAAGTGGAGGATTCATCTGTGGTCTGAGGAGGTACGCTGAGGAGCTTTTAGTGCTCTTCAAGGATAGACAGTTGCTATCCACATTTTTTTACATAGTTGCTCAAAAGTTGTCCTCAAGTTTACAGTTCCCTTGAGCATCCCATATTCCCCTAGACACCAATCAAAGTTGTTTTACCCTAATAAAAACAACAAAACAAAGCTGAAGGACTGTTTACTGACTCTGAGTGCACAAGTGTGGAAAAATGCATGTTGCCTGGCTGTGCAGAGATTTAGGGGGACCCAATAACTCAGAGACTGCTAGGGGGGTAGTACTACAGTTATATATTTAAACATGTATGCTATGTAACCAGCATTCATGCATTGAATATTAATTACTGATGATATGGTATCACAGATTACCTCTGTTTGACTTGACAAAGCTGATTGTGAAATGTGTTCGAACCACACCACACCCACTTTGTGTATTGGAGAAATCTTATGCAGTAACTGATATATCAGGAACATGATTTCAGCTATCAAGCTAATGCGTGTGCCGTGTTCACATTAGAATGCACGTTTATGGGTGTATTTTGGTTTTGTGCTGCCCTAGGCAAGACTAAAATCGGGCACCCCCGGGCATCTAAATTTGTCCCACCCCTTCCTGTTTAAGACCCACCCTTCATCTGTAAACCCCACCCCTTCCTATATAGGCTCCCCCTCTTCCTATTAAAGCTCCACCCAGTGACAATGATGGGCGCTATTCCTCCCACTGAAAACAATGGCGGGGCACTATTCCTCTCACTGACACCAATGATGGGGTACTTTTACTTCCACACTGACACCAATGATGGGGCACTATTCCTCCCACTGATACCAATGATGGGGCACCTATTCCTCCCACTGACACCAACGATGGGGTACTATTACATCCACACTGACACCAATGATGGGGCACTATTCCTACCACACTGGCACTAATGATGGGGCACTATTCCTCCCACTGACACCAATGATGGGGCACTATTCCTCCCACTGACACCAATGATGGGGCACTATTCCTCCCACTGACACCAATGATGGGGCACTATTCCTCCCACTGGCACAAACGATGGTGCCCCATAATTGGTGTCAGTGGGAGGAATAGTGTCCCATTGTTGGTATCAGTGGGAGGAATAGTGCCCCATCATTAGTGTCAGTGGGAGGAATAGTGCCCCATCATTGGTATCAGTGGGAGGAATAGTGCCCCATCATTGGTATCAGTGGGAGGAATAGTGCCCCGTCATTAGTGTCAGTGGGAGGAATAGTGCCCCATCATTAGTGTCAGTGGGAAGAATAGTGCCCCATCATTGGTGTCAGTGGGGGGGGGGAATAGTGTCCCATCGTTGGTGTCAGTGGGGGGAGGAATAGTGCCCCATCGTTGGTGTCAGTGGAGGGGAGGAATAGTGCCCCATCGTCGGTGTCAGGGGGGGAGGAATAGTGCCCCATCGTTGGTGTCAGTGGGGGGAAGAATAGTGCCCCATCGTTGGTGTCAGTGGGGGGAAGATTAGTGCCCCATAGTTGGTGTCAGTTGGGGGGAAATAGCTCCCCATCATTGGTGTCAGTGGGAGAAATAGTGCCCCATCATTGGTATCAGTGACACAAATGATGGGGCACTATTCCTCCCACTGACACCAATGATACTTACCTTGCTGACCCCTGCTCCAGCCTGGGCTCGCTCCCTCCATCTCCCATCTACAGCCAGCATACCTGCGAGGAGGCGGAGCTTGCAGAGGGAGGGACAAGCTGCTATAGGCTGTTGAGTGTTCCTGGGGGTGTGGTCAGATGACAGGGGTGGCATGTCATCCCACCCACACATCCAGGGAAATGAAGACACCGGACACGCTGACCGGACAACCTCTCTACCCCTCCTCCAGCAGCGCCTCGTGGACCTGATCGACGTGGGACTGGGACACGGAGTCGCGGATCCAGGTAAGACACAGCAGCCCGCCCGTGTACTAAGTGTCCCTTCTGTGGAAATGGGGGGGGCGGGGGCGGCGGCACCTGCTGGCGGATTACCTTCCTTGACAATGTGGCAAGGTCAGCGATCAGCAGACTCTCCTTGCCTCCCTTCTCTCTCTCTTTCCATGACCTGGTCTGGTCCTCCTGCAGTCATCCCACTCCTCTCTCCAGATCTCTCACCTCTCACTTACTGTCCCATCTCTCGGGCTTTCACATATATATGCCACTGCCCACACAGCAACTCCTCTGGGAAATGTAGTTCCTAGGTACACTGCTCCTTAGTAAAGTCCTGCGGTTCAGCATACAAGTTCCATGTGTGTGAATGCCGCTGTTCTACAGTACACTGCCATCTTGTGTTCGCTTTAACATCCTGCATCAAGCACTTGTACCAGGGTGTTACAATTAAATGGTAAAGAATACTTACACAGTAAGGGAGGTTGACTTAGAGCTATATTCAAGCCATGCAGTATATTTGTCACAAGTATTTATATGAATGGAAATATAATTTTTTTGTTTATTTATTTATATAATAAAAAAAGTATGCTCTTAATGTGTTCAATCTTTTTGTCATCTACTGTATAATGTTCCATCCATATTATTATTTTCATTCTATACTAATAGGAGATGTAGTGCCTTGATCAGCTATCAGTCCAACAAATCTGTATGTATTTATACATTTTTAGTTTATTGTAGCCAGTCAGATCATTTAAGAGATACTTTGTGTATGGTGTATGTTTCACTGTCTCTGCGAATAAAGTGAAGGCTTTGCCACTGCCTCCTATGGACACCTAGACAGCGACTTTTCCATTATACGTTTTACATGCTTCAGATGCTTGCTTTCATTTTATGACCTCTACTTGAAAAATGTGAGCTGGAAATGCAGACATATTTTTATTTATTGCTGCAGTCAATGCACAGTCCTCTGACACTTCCGTCTACCAACTGTCAGCATTCAGCAGTTGGAGAATGTACAGATCCAAGAATTGCTCATCTTTATCTGTCATGTCGCCCTACAGAGTGAATGAGAGTCTCTAGATAAAGTCAATTCATTAAGATGGATGAGTTATTTGAACTGCATTCATTATTTTATTTGATCATGTTCCCAATAAGAACATTCATTTCACTCACAGCAAATAGTTATTTAACCACTGAACAATTTCATTTCTTATTCATCTGTATTTTATTTATTAAATCATTATTTTTATATCTGTCTAGAATGGCTCGCAGAACCTTACAATTAAAAAAAAAACCCCACAAGACTGTCAGGACGGGAACTTCAAGCTTGCCATCGCTGACCTTTCCTTCAGAAAATGCTAGTTGCTTGGCAGTCACATTTTACTGACCTGAAATAAGTATGCAGATCAGGAGCAGGGGCAGACTGACAACTCATGGGGCCCCCGGGCAATAGGGGATCATGGGGCCCCCGTGTCCTTGCTCAAACTCAAAAAAGCCTATGAAAAAGGTACCAGGGGCATCTCATGGGGCCCACTACAGACCCCGAGCCCTTGGACAGTGCCCGAGTTTCCAAATGGTCAGTCCACCCCTGATCAGGAGTTTTTACTTTGAATTTCCTGAACTGCATACCTGTTGTGGATTCAGAAAGTATTGAAGAGAGGCGATATGCATTTAGAAAGAATGTTAACACCCCAAATACCCCTCTTTATACTTCTTTTCCCAAATGCCTGCTTTCCTCATTCTTCTTCTGTTTATTGTCCTTCTAAAAAAAAACCTTCCTCTTCAACAGCTTCTTTTTTTTTCTTATTCTAATTACCATTGGCTTCAAAGAAATTACAGGAAATATTCACTCTCCTGGGGGTGCCGTAGTACACAAATGGACAAACATTTGCATCTCTATCCTTATCCCAAGGCAGCATAGCACTCTAACAAGCTGCTCTAACCACAACCTAACCCCAATGCCAAGTAGAGGATATGTATAGGGTGCATCAATGGAGGAGGCTGTTGACCTGAGAGATGTCAGCCGGGGATGGAGGAGTCACTGGACAACAGGCACTGTCAGGGGTGGACTGACCATTTGGAAACTCGGGCACTGCCAGAGGGCCCAGGGTCAGTAGGGGGCCCCATGAGATGCCCCTGGTACCTTTTTCATAGGCTTTTTTGAGTTTGGGCAAGGACACAGGGGCCCCATGATCCCCTATTGCCCGGGGGCCCCATGAGTTGTCAGTCTGCCCCTGGGCACTTGGCAGCACTTCTAGGAGTTAGGCAAACTTTGTAAATGGAAGAGGATAGAACAGGAAGGCACTTCTAAGTGCAGTATATCCAGAAGAATCTTTAATAATGACGGTTAGAAACACTTACAAACTTGTAGTTAAAAACAGGCTCAATAAAATCGAGTGCAGAGGCTCAATCCACCATGCGAGAACCCACTGTGCTGGCCAGCAACTGCAGGGGGAGCTGAGGATCAGTTGTCCAAAATTGCCACCTCAATTTCTGGGATTGCTGGAACGCATGCTGGAGAGCACACTGTCCAGGAGATCGCAACCATAAGTGAAGTAGACAGCATGCGCTCCAGCGATCCTGGAACTTTGGACAACTGATCCTCAGCTCCCCCTGCAGCTGCTGGATTCTCGCATGGTGGATTGAGTCTCTGCACTCGATTTTATTGAGGCTGTTTTAACTACAAGTTTGAAAGTGTTTCTAACCGTCATTATTAAAGATTCTTCTGGATATATTGCACTTATTATTATTATTATTATACAGGATTTATCTAGCGCCAATAGTTTGCTCAGCACTTTACAATATAAAGGGAGACAATACAGCAACAATACAGTTCAATACAAGAGGGATAGGAGGTTACAATCTAGAATAAGAAGCACGTTCCTGTTCTATCCTGACCCCAATGCCATTAATGTGGAAGACCTAAAGCAGCAATAGGTCTACCACAAGACCTGTGAGCATCCAACACCTGAAAAAAACCCTACGATTAAGTTTTTGACAGAGTGAAACGCGTTAGTGGACTAAGGAGAGGGCGAAACAGCCTCCCCACCAGATAATACCAATAAATATTCATGTGAGGCTTTTGTGATGTATATGTTTTTTTTTCCTTTTTTTTCTTTGTTGGATGGTTATGATTGTGGAGCAGATAGCGAAACCGCTTGAAATCAGCACCTACCAATCTGTGGAGAGTGAGGGTTTTGCCTTGAGTTGAGCAAAATAGTTTCTCTTCAACATCTGAGATAGGTAAATACAATCTAATCTTCTCTACTGTACTTTAAAACTTTAATATTGGGGTTATAAAACACCAGTTAGTCAGTAATATTATTTTAAAAAGTAAAGATTACTTTTCTGAATTTAAATTTACTACACTTTAACGTCAAAAAGTTAATAGTAACAAATATTGGGTAAATTCTGTTGATATGCGCTGTCAAATAAAAAACTTCATTACATTTTTCTAAACTAAAAAACAGTATTAAACCCAAAAGGAAATATTTATTATATTGCAGCTTATCAATTCTTAGATGTGATGGCTGCATTGGTTTTCTTTTTTAGGATTTTTTTTCTTTTATTTTCACCTGATCTTTTGGCCAGTAAGTCTGAGTTTTTCAAAAGAACAAGCTCTCCTGCAGATATAGCAGTTACAGGGATGAGACAATCCATTTACCATCAGCAGGGGTGCTTACAATGATCATCTTTTATTCATTTACGTAAAACCTTTATCCCAAAAAAAAAAACATTTGCTGTAAGTGCAGTGTAAGCTGGAGTTTGGTGTCAGTTTGTTGTTAAATCAGTGTACCTAAATCTGCTAGTACATCTAACACTGCCCTCCCCCCAGACTGACAATGCTGCTGTCCAAATGTGGCACTCTAATACAGGAGGTGTTACTGGACAGGTCACCAGGTGAAAACAGAGGGGAAAGAGCCTTAAAAAAAGAAATCGAATGCAGCCACCACATCTAATGTTCGGTAAGCTGCAATATATTACATTTTTGGTTTTGGGTTTAATACCGCTTTA